CGTAATGTGCCAAATATGTATGTTTAAAACTGCTCAACGATATCTTCTCACTAAGGTTGAAACTGCATTAATAAACGAAGAAAATGCTCATCGACAATCTTTAAATTTTGAGAGAAGAGATTTACCAAAAAATAAATAGATAAATAAATAAATACACGTACTAAACACTTTTTATGCAAATAATATAGTAATAACTTGCGTGCGTAAGGACTTTGTGACTCCCCGGAGGACCGTGAACCAGCAAGAACCGCTGCTCCATATCATTTGAAAATAACGCTTAAGGCTAAGAAGATTCGTCCGCAGGTGTAAACGAATCGTGTAAGAATGGATAAAGGAATGTATCGTTAATCCAGTAAGTGAATACAAGTGTACCGAATTTAATACATATACATACATGCGCACAGTTGCACCGCAAACATAGACGATGGTCAGTGACACTTTGTGTAACATCAAAGGGAGCTCGGAATGCGAGTTAATTTTGTAGCAGGGGAGGCCAGAATGAGGGTTAAGAGAAATAGACGAGAAGGAAGATAGGGCGAGTCGAGTAGAATGAGCGAGCGAGTGAGAGAAACGAGAGACGGTACCGAAAAAGGGAACTGCCATCCATATTCAAAACGAGGGCTTACACCCTGCGGTCTGCCGAGTTAGCCGGTTTGTCTAAAAAAAGAAGCATGCTTATTTCTCAACGGTAGCGATGGTATGCTCACTCCTGCGATTTGCTTTCCATGTTACTCTCTCTTTCAGAACCGGTTTCTCCTCTATTTATTTCCAAACTTGGAAAATGTATTTCTAGACGATACGTTCTTCTTCACCTAAGACGAGTATGGTTAATTTGTCAGACACGCAGTAAAAAAAGGTTTTTTTTTAAATAAATAAATATTTTCAGTCGTTACGCGATACACTACATGTCTGTATGTCGCTGGAAACTCGGCATAAGTAAGGAAGGAAAGAAAGAGAAGCAGGGGAAGATGGGTGAAAAATGAGAAAAAGGTAGAACACTTTTTGCATCTGCCTTTGGTCCTGTGCCTGACAGAGTTCATGCAGGAATGATCTAACACCTGCGTTAAATAGCAACATTTTTCATGCATCTCTGAGATACGTCGTGACCTACGACTGAATTTTTATGGCAACGACTTTCGCGGGATTAAACGCGTTTCCACGTCAGCCGGAATAAAATTCGTCAGCGCGCAAAGTTAACGAAGCACGTAGGAAGATCTTATTAGGATACTAATCGGACCGCGCACGTCACACAGAACAGGAGTTTCTTGAGTGTATGGATCTTGATCGCATATTCGGTCGCGCGTACGTGAGATTCCTATTGTTCTAGAGGGAAATTTCCTACAGTCGAAAAGCGGATTCAGATTTATGCGGAAACGTTTCTGAGTTACCGCGAATTCCTAGGGTGCCTAAATCGTTCGTTTGCTTCGAGATTAACCGAGTAACATCGATACACGACGTCTTTATGGAAAAATGAATTACGAGAGGATTGTCTTACAATCTGTAGTAAGTTATTTAGACGCCGTATAAAAACATCATCTAGTCGTTCTGCCGTTTAATTCTCTCTGGGATTACGGACACTGCGTTTGAGCGTACTTCCTCCGCAGGAAAAGGCTGCTACCTAACATTGGTTTATTTTTCAAGACTGCGACCGTCTCTCGTATCTAGCTTCGTTGCATGAAATTACTGTGTAACTGAGAAACTGATTACTAGCCAGTCGTACTGCAAACAAACGCATCGATAAGAGACATATTGATCAAAACGCGCAAAGAAGGTGATTTGTCATTCTATTCGACGTATGGACTCTTCCCGGACAAATAGGAATGGTCCATCGAAAGAAATTGTTCAAACCTGTATCGACCTCTAAAGTGGGAACGGCCAAGTAAAAGATTCCTCGACGTCATCGTCCAAAGCGATCAAAGGGATTTTCGGTCGACCAAACCAATACGAATCGTAAAGCCAAGTCCATTCATCTTCGTATACTGGGCGATCGATGTTACTTGGACATTTCTCGTCGTTACCGCGCTGATACGATATCTCGTTTCATAATTCACGTGAATTCGTTCTTATCGACGCCTGATTTCTGATATCGAATACCGACGTTTACTCGAGCCAAGCTTCACAGAGAGCGCGCCGATGTTATCCAGCAGCAATTGCGGGTTTTCGTCGTTTTCCAGCGTACACTCGCCCGATAACCGTTGTAAATGCTTTTCACCTTTCGTCGGTTTATCCATCGCGTCTCGTCGTCTTAACTCGATACGATTCGATACAACTTTGACTCGCTACTAGGTAAAGGATAGTTTCGTATATAGGGCTAAAAGGTTTTAGTGACAAAGTTTCCCATTCTATTAAGGTACACAACGAAGCACGTCGAAGCATTCTGTTGTACGTCAAAAAATTAGGAAACGCGAAGTTAGTTTCTCCAATAAACAGATTTTCGTTTGAACGAACAAAGTTGCGTCGTTCCAGCACAAGTATCAAGTTTTAGCTTTGTTAATGAACGAAATTGATATTCCAGATGTCAACTTTCTCGATAACTGTATACATAATCCATAATGAAAAAAGAAGAAACGCTGGATCGTGATACGACGACCGATCGTCATAATTGATTGGAAAAACGAGACACACGTATAATCGGTTAACTAATTGTCTCGTAACAATTACGCATATTTTTGGATGCTACTACTTGAAGAATATGCTTCTAAACGCGTAATTGAAAAAGCGACATTTCGCTTTTTATCAACGACGATTATCAGTGACAAAAGAGAAGGTGAAAAGTAAGCATTTGATCTTTCGCTCCAGATACTTGGTTAATACAACGCGTTCCTATTTTATTTCTGTTACAGTGGCTGTAGATCAGAGTGGCAGGTATATTTACATATGATCTGTCTCCAGGTATAGATAGCTGTCTTCGTTTTATTCACCAGAAAGGTATTTATATCCTCTGATTCACACTCCCATTATTTGCTGGAATATATTTGAGGATTTTATAGAAACGTAGAATATATAATGTGAAGATTTTTCACAGCCGAACGAACGTTTCACCGTAGCCTTACAAATTTATATAACGCTATTCAATTTTGATAATAAGAAAAATTACTTGACCCGTAAAACCGCAAGATCTTCATACACAGAGATCCTAATTCTGATTAACCGTGGCCCGAATCCGAACGCAGAAATCCATGAAATTAAATAAGAAGCTTATTCGATTTCAAATAATTTCGAATATTAATTTTCCAAAAAACCAACTTGTACGCTTTCTCGCTTTCCAATTAGAATTATACAAATATTCAGACTAACCAATCGTTATCTACACGCAGATTCTATATACATTTCAAGAAGTGTTTCCATTTCAAAAAGTATTTCACGATTTCGTTGCCCTGTCTCGAAGTAGAATCGCACCGTTCCTATTCGGACACAAATACATTTACGTATTCACCGATGTGATAACAGTAGCAACGAAATCGAATATTTCTTGCGCGTAATGCGATACCAGCGGAATCGCTCCTTTCATTTCATTTCGTGACAGTTTATTGCACGAAATAGTTGCCGTACAATTCGAAAGGCAGGTACCGTTTTTACTAACCGAGTAAAAGCGAAGACAGAGCGGCAAGCTGTGTCACGGCGGCACATGCGCGCAGGAGAAAAGGACGGTATCGAGCCAGGCTAGTTGCTTGCCCGTCAACAGACGGTGTCGCACCGTCAGTTTCTTCCGCCGCGCCTGAAAGGCGTTCAGTGTCGAGTCGAAGAAACGCGCGCTTCTTCTGTAAAGTTCGTTCGTTTTTTTTTTTATTTTTTCGTGAGTAGAAAAATCGAGTGCGTGAACACTCGAGTGTGCAGACCGGTGCAAGAGGAATCGTGATAGAATGTAATCGAATCGCCATGGGACTGTTGCCATCAGTCAGCCGGTAATTTCGCACACGGTAAGGCAAGACACCTTACAGAAATTTCGTTCACGGCATAGTACGCCCATGTGTGATTGTGAACACTCGCCC